ATTTCATAGAAAAAAATTAATTTAGAAAGATGTAAAAAAAGCTTGGATTCATTTCATAAGTAAATACAAACAGGTAAAGACAGGTCCAGGACTGAGAACTACTGTGAGTACGTTGGCTTCCCTTTCAAAGTATTTCTAAATCACACATGATCACTTTCTGAAGGTAACATACCTTTTACTTTACCTTAACAAAGTTTCTAAGTTCAGCCTTGGAAAGGTCTATCCAAACATGGAATAAACTTATCTTAAGTTCTAAACATTACCAATAGTCCAACTCATAATAAGCATTTAATAAAAATATTTAAGACTAAAGTCACAGATAAAAATCACTTTTCTCACCTGAAAACCACACTTGAGGCACAACCAAATGTCAGAGGAAAGTACTGGCTGCCCATCACAGAATCTTCTTTCCCTTAAACAGTCGGAGCAAACTGACCACACATTCTCAGCTATTGCTTTCTTCACATGATTCACACTGATGGCAAGATTTACATGTGGGCAAGTGAAACCTACTGAATAAGACATAACAAAATCTGAACAGTTTCTTTGCTAAACCAAAGTGCTATCATCATTTAGCAAAAATCAATAGCATGAAAACACTGTAACTAAAAAGCAAAGAGATTAAAAAAACCAAGTAACTTAAAAGGATACATACTGCATGGCTCCATTTATAAAGCACTTGTGAAATAACATAATTATAGAGTTGGAAAACAGATTTGTGGCTGCCAGGAACTATGGGTGGAGGACAGGTTACCTATTATCAGGTAACACTTGGGATGGTGATGGTACAGCCAGATATCTCAATTGTGGTAGTTACAAAACTACACATGTAATTAGACTGCGTATAGAGTTATACACACTCAAATACACACATATGAGGCCTTGTAGATCTGGTGAAATCAGAAGAAGCTGTAAGGATTGTAGTGACGTCATCTTCCTGGTTTTAATATCATACTGTAGAAATAAGATTAAATCAGGAGAGGTTGGGTGAAGAATGAATGGGACCCCCTTGTGTATTTCTCTGTACCTTCCTATTAATTTAAAATCAGGTCAAAAATAGGGGCGCCCAGGTGGCTCAGTCAGTTAAGTGTCCAACTTCGGCTCAGGTCATGATCTCACGGTTTGTGAGTTCGAGCCCTGCATCGGGCTACGTGCTGACAGCTCACAGCCTGGAGCCTACTTTGGATTCTGTGTCTCCCTCTCTCTCTGCCCCTCCCCCCCTCACACTCTGTCTCTCCATCTCTCAAAAATAAATAAATGTTACAGCGCCTGGGTGGTTCAGTCGGTTGAGCATCCGACTTCGGCTCAGGTCATGATCTCATGGTCTGTGAGTTCGAGCCCTGCATCGGACTCTATGCTGACTGTTCAGAGCCTGGAGCCTGCTTTGGATTCTGTGTGTCCCTCTCTCTCTATCCCTCCCCCACTCATGCTCTGTCTCTCTCTCTCTATCAAAAATAAACATTAAAAAAAAATTTTTAATAAATAAATGTTAAAAAAATAAAGTAAAATTAGGCCAAAAGTAAAAAGTTTAATAAATAAAGGAGATAATTTGCTGAGCAGCTGTGTTAATAAGGATTTTGAATATATTTTCTTCTCATTAAGATACACACATAAAATCTTTCCACAGAGCCTACCTCTGCTCTGATGCTATTTTCATCCCTGTTGGGAGAAAGGAGAGAGAGAAGAACAAACAATGGAATCATTTACAGGTACAAGAATTGTCCTTAATGAATTTTTTTTTAATTTTTTTTTAACGTTTATTTATTTTTGAGACAGATAGAGACAGAGAATGAACAGGGGAGGGGCAGAGAGAGAGGGAGACACAGAATCTGAAACAGGCTCCAGGCTCTGAGCTGCCAGCACAAAGCCCAACGCGGGGCTCGAACTCACGGACCGTGAGATCATGACCTGAGCCGAAGTCGTACGCTTAACCAACCAAACCACCCAGGCGCCCCTTAATGAATATTTTCAAATAGCAAATGACTTTGCATAGCCCTTAATTATCCTTTATGACAGAGTCCCACTGTGTGCACCGTGAGGAGACAAATGGCCAAAATGACCTAATATGTTTTTATTTCTTCAGATAACCATAGTCTTCTTGCAAGGACACAATGACACTTCCATTTCTCCAACTTCAACTATTCCAAACACCAAAACTACAACTATCTGCCAAAACCAAACAATGAAGGAAAGACTGAGTAACTTGAAGAGGGAAACAGGAGTATGTGCATTTCCACTTTCTCCACTTCCCTTCCTAAACGCCCAGCACTCCTTGCCCCTATTAGTTAACTAGAGAGAGGCTAAGCGTTAGTCCCATTCATCCTGAAGGCTAAGAATGTGACTCCTGACAAGTGATCTGTTGTAAAATATAATTTACTTTCAGCAAAAGTAATGTGTAAATCTGATAAAAGATTAAGCCTTCTCATTGTACACCAAGAGCAAGTTACAAGAATAGACACAAAAGGAGTAACTCTGAAGTCCTGTATTTGAAAAGGACACATGCCATTAACGAAAGGGGTGTTCTGGGGAAGACTGATAGATGACCACACAAGAACAGGACCTAGACAGGGTTTACCAAATATCACTGCTTTGAGTTTTTATATTTTAAAATTATAAGTGGAAAAATCATTCCATACACTTTCTATATCATCTCTGGGGTGGCATCTGGCCAGGGGACAACTTAACTAGTCTCTGATTCTATAAATCAGACTTATAAAACTGAAATTGTTAATGAATTCAGAGATAAGTAAATTCATTATAAAAAGGTTCCAGGCCTCTAAATGAATTCTATTAGCTTTTAAATGCCTCAACCATAGGTACTTTTTATAAAGAAATCTGAAAGTTCAAAGTTTTTCTACAAGACTAACCAGTGTTTAAACAGTATTTATAGGGGCATCTGGTGGCTCAGTCAGAGAAGCAGCCAGCTCTTGATTTCCACTCAGGTCATAATCTCATGGTCATGGCTCTGCACGGACAGCATGGAGCCTGCTTCAGATTCTCTCCCTCTCTCTCTGTCCTCCTCCCACTCATACTCACCCTCTCTTTCTCTCTCAAAATAAATAAACATTTAATAAATAAGTAAATAGTATTCATAATCTCTTGTGGGGGGGAAACATAAAATTTTTTTTTTCTGTGCTAATAAGGAGATTTCCTCAGTTTTCTGTAATTTAATTATACAATTGTCTAAATTTGATTTGCCAAACAAGTCCTCTAGGGATTCCTGAGGAAAATCTACAAATGTATTGAAGTCTATCATTGTTCCACATTAACAAATCAGAAACAACAAGTAAAATCTCCATGTTTTTCATCTTAGGTATTAATAAAAACTCCACAAGGAGGTCTTCCAGTTTGTAAATGATGGTCTAAAATCAACACTTTCCCATTCTCTTCCCAGAACCACCCAAGGTCAACAAGAACACAAAACAAAAAAACCAAGTTCATTTTCAGAAAAACCAGGAGACAACTGAGGCCCAGAAATCCCAAATAGGAGTGTATACAGAAGGAAGCAGAGAGAACACTGCAGCTGTAGACTTCACAGAGAATGATGTGTGCTTCACAGACAAGAACAAAACCGAAATCTCTGTGCTGCAACCACACTGGCAGGAGCTCCCCTGTATCCAGTTTTGTTTTGAGAAGCAAAAGGCGGCAACGTCTCATTCACTAAGTGAGAAACAAAAGAACAAGCCATGTTTGCCAGAAATAGTCTTCTCTCTAAGGTAAGGGAGAAGGGATATTTTGGATTCTGAAATAACCCAGGGCGGCATAATCCTGTTGGGTGGGAAGAAGGTTCAATGTGCTCAGACTCAAAACTACAGTTGGTCTCAACAGTGCTTTGGCCTTCCTTCTTACACGAATATTCCAAAACTAAATGGCCCAAGAAAAGTGACCCTACTTCAAAGAATGAAAGAAATGAGAAATCAAAGCCACAAATTCTATGCCAATATAATAAAAAGGAAAAACAAGTGGCACAGAAATAATTGCCATGAAATAAAAATACAAAACAGAAGCAAAATGCTCCAGCACAAGGTGGCAAAACAGTAGGAAGTGACCAGCAGGGTTCAGGAAAGAAATGGAAGAAAAAAAAATAAACCACAAAAATGACGGCAAAAGTAAAAAGGGCATAAGGTGAAACAGACACTGCAGAAAACACTGTAAAGATAAACATGAAAACAGCAAGCAAAATGAAAAGGAAACAGGAGTTTTAGAAGATTTGAGGAAAAAGAAACTAGAAGACAGGCAAGGAAGAGTTAACATAAGAATACTCAAAATCCCTGAAAAAAAATCATATCCACAGAATAAAACAAATGCTTAAAGATATAATTTAGTCTTCCCTCAATATAGCAATCTAGCTGTCCTCAAACACTTTCCAAGTTAAAACCACGTAAACAGGAAATAAAAGGGGTGTCTGGGGGGCTCAGTCAGATGAGCGTCTGACTTTGGCTCAGGTCATGATCTCACAGCTCGTGAGTTTGAGCCCCACATCGGGCTCTGTGCTGACAGCTCAGAGCCTGGAGCCTGCTTCAGATTCTGTGTCTCCCTCTCTCTGCCCTCCCCTGCTTGCACTCTGTCTCTCTCTCTCTCTCTCTCTCTCTCTCCCAAAAGTAAATAAACATTAAAAAAAAAAAAAGAAAGAAAGAAAATTTTAAACAACTTTTTCAATGGAGAGCTGAACTAGTAAGAAAGTATGAATCCTCAGAGGCCAAAACGGAGGTCATGAAGCTGAAGAGAAAACCAAGTCCAAGGCGAGCAACTCCCAGAGACGCCTCCCGGCCTTGAAGGCTTGGTTTTAACAGGCCATGAAGAACGGGAAACAAAAAGATGCCAATTCTAGGTTACTTTATAAACTAAACAAAAATGTCAATAAAAAAATCAACAGGATGTTCTGGAACTAGACAAGCTGATTTTAAAGTTCATGTAGAAAATAGTGAAAATAGGGACCCCTGGGGGGCTCAGTCAGTTAAGCGTCTGACTTCGGCTCAGGTCATGATCTCACGACTCTTGAGTTTGAGCCCTGTGTCGGGCTCTGTGCTGACAGCTCGGTGCCTGGAGCCTGCTTCGCATTCTGTGTCTCCCTCCCTCTCTCTGCTCCTGCCCCACTCATGCTCTGCCTCTCAGTCTCTCAAAATAAATACATGTTAAAAAAAAATTTTTTTTTAAAAGAAAGAAAATAGTGAAAATAAAGGGCAAAGGATTTAATTAAAAACAAATATGGTTATTTTCCGCAACACTATTAAGGATGCCAGATATCACAATTTACCAGCAATGTCGTCTGAAGAGTCTTCATCACGAGGTATAGCAGGCCTTTTACTTCTTTTTGCTTTCTCGGGTAAAGCTTTGGAAGGTTCTTTCACCCGCATCTGTTAGTTACTGAAAAGATGGGGGGGGGGGGGATGAACATACTTTAATCCTCAAAATGAAAATTTTAGCTACTGTACCTTATGTATATTAAAACTGAAATGACTTCTATTTTAGTTGGGCCTAGGAAATCAACAGAGGGAGAAGAAAACATCAGGTGAAACCAAAGAAATCTTTATTAAACCAATATACAAATGCACATGACATTTGACTTTTACCAACTACTCCCTGGAAAAATGATGCTCAGGTGAATGAAAAAACTAAAGTTCTGATCAAGGAAGTAAGTGCTGCTTCTAGACCATGTGCTCCCCTTGCCATTTTCCCATCCCAGTAGCTAGGAAATAGTAAAAGCTGGAAAAGCACAGACCAGGGATGGAAACCATGTGCCAGCCCTACCTGCACTATATGACCTAGCACTGAAGTGAGAGAGAAATAAATTGTTTAACGCTACTGCATTTTTTTTCTCCACTTTTTTATCATGAAAAAATTTACACTTCCACAAAAGTTAAAAGAACAATATAATAAGCACCCATATATTTACTATCTAGATTCCACCCGGAGAACATTTTGCCATATTTGTTTTATCTAAACATCAGCGTGTATAGAGAGAGACATATATACACGTATGTGGTATGTTTGTTTTTGCTCAACTATTTTAAAGGAAGTTGCAAAGAACATGTCTCTTTTAAGAACATTTTTCCATATAATCTCATCATCATCACATCTAAGAAAATGAACAGTAATCCCCTATTCTGATATTCCACCATATTCTAACCTCTTCAGCTGAAGCATCTTCCATACTGTTTTTTTTTTTTTTAAATCAATCAATATTCAGTCAAGATTTGCACTCTGTATTGGTTCTGTCCTGTTGATTGTTAGTATCTTTTAATCTACAACTGTTCTTCCCATCTTATACTTTCCTAAACACTAGCTTTTTTAAGAGATCAGGGCAGTGCATATGAGCCACCTTAAAGATGTTGTTAAAATGAGGATTTCGATTCAACAAGTCTGGTACAGGACCTGAGGTTTTGCCTAACAAACTCTCAGTTGGAAGGATTGCTGGGAGTCCATTGCTACACTTTCAATAGCAACATCGTATAAAGTACCACACTTAATTTGTCTCTTCATGGTGTCACTTACCTCTGTCCCTTACATTTCTTAAAACCCCAAAGTTAATTCTAAAAATTTTAGATAAAAAGAAGCATTTTTTAAAACCACTGTACTTGGAGTCTCTGTTAAAGTAGCTTAGCCTAAATGCTACCTAATATCTGTTCCATGGCTAAGCTATACTGTAATTTTCATAACTGTTTCCTTGCTTTTATTGATCAAGGTGGAAGAATCTTTCAACTCAATAATAAATTCTGAATCTTGATTCAGTTCTACCATATTCCACAAAAGGGAGTTTTGGGGTTTACCATTTTAAGAGCCATTTCTTCAACTCCAGGGGTCATCACTCTTGACATGAGTTGCAACAAATCATGGCCTTCAGGGTTGGAGATCTACAAAGCCTCTGAGTTCCCTGACCATTTCTTTTCTTTTTCTTCCAACTAGTCTCCACACCCAACATGGGGCTTCATGATCGTGAGTTGAAGAGTCAGATGCTCTACTGACAGAGCAAGCCACGAATCCCGACCATTTCATTTCTGACTGCCTTTTCCCTCCAAACTTCCTCATCCACTTACCCCTACAGTTCCACCTTGCAAAATCACTAATTCAGGTATTCCCTTCCCTAATCACAACTGAAGTTCCTCCAGCTTGCCTGATCAGCCACTCCTTATTCACTTTTAATGCGCAGGTTGACAAGAGGCTGCCTCTCACCAAGCACTTCCATGATCACTACAGCAAGGCACAGAGATGGGGAAGTGGCAAATGGAGTGCTGGCTCTTAAAGCTTCAGAGAGGGGCACCTGGGTGGCTGGATCGGTGGGTTAAACATCTGACTTCAGCTCAGGTCATGATCTCATGGCTCATGAGTTTGAGCCCCGCGTAGGGCTCCGTGCTGGTAGCTCGGAGCCTGAAGCCTGCTTCAGATTGTGTCTTTCTCTCTCTGCCCCTCCCCCACTTGTGCTGTCTGTCTGTCTCTCTCTCTCTCTCTCTCTCTCTCTCTCTCTCAAAAATAAATAAACATTAAAAAAAAAAAGCTTCACTGGGAAATGACATATGTCACATCTGGTCATATTTTACCAGCACAAGCAAGTCATAGGGCCACGTTTAACTTCAAGTAGACATGGGGCATATGGGGGTGGGAGGTGGACGTGTACAAAGAGTGCAACCTTACTTACCATGTACATAGGAAGAACAAAGTATGAAAGCACAGCCTTAAGGACTACCGTATCACTCCTCTAACACAAATTCAAACCTAAATGAACCCAGTTAACTACTTTCTCCACGTCTCCATCCAAACAGGCTGGAGAAAATCTTGTAAGAAAGCAGACTGGGTTGCTAAATTCATAACACAGTCTCAATCTCAAATGGATTAAGACATGCCATTAACCACTACACTTTCCGGAAAACTTACTTACCTACTCCTCACACAGTCATCTGAAACCTTTCTCACTCTCCCAAACCTCTCACTCCTCCATCTACTTACTTCTCAAAATAGTATCTAGTCTTCTACTTAACTAAGGGGGAAAAAAAGACAATCAGATGGCAAATCTGAACTTTCCACCCCCAAGCCTACAGTTACCTCCAAATATTTCAACTTGATGTCCTCAAAATATAGGCATAAGTAATAGAATCTAGGAAAAATGGCCATGAGAGACTTGTCACACCTTTTCCCCAACTGCACAGATAAACTCTAGATAGGCAATGGCACATAATGCTGGCAGAACAACAAAAAAATCAGGTGTTTGACCTATAATCTGCAAAAGGTCTGTAAAAGACACTCAAACTTGGCAAGTAGAGTTAAGTTCCAGTGATTTTTCTGACATATGGAATATATCTAAACAGAATTACTTCTGGACAGCAACCCACTATTTAGCAATCACTTATCTGGGTAGCTTTCCTTTTCAGTCCCCTTTAAGGCAAAAAGAAATAAAATTAAAGTTCAATTACTAGACCTTCAAGTTCTTTCTACCACCAATATTGGATCTGGGGAGTTCCAAGCCCACCCTCACATTTGGGGATTCACTTGAAGGACTCACAGGACTCAGCATGTAGTTGTACTCATAACTAATTTTTATTACAGCAATGTCGTATGGCCTACAGCCTGGATCATAATGCAAAAAGACACAAGTGAAGTTTGCAGGAATCCACGTGCAGGCTTATGTTCTCTCCCTCCCCGAAAGGGTCAAACAGAGCACTCTTTACCCCAAAAAGGAAAATCTAGCAATGTCTGTGCAATGTTTCTGTCAGGGAACCCATAACAGACTCACAGGCCAGGGGGGTTTTATGGGGGCTGGTAACTCTGGCTTAACTACATAGTTCTCTCCCAGATGCCAAACAAGTTGTAGCCTTGCAAAGCGGACCTTTCTAAGGATAGCAGCCTCAGGGCCGGTGTGTTAACTCTTTTCAGCACAAATAAGCTCTGGCCATTTTTCTCACGTGGTTTCTCAAACAAAACTTTTCAGTTTTCAACTTCACTATTACTCTAACATCTGTCTTTTCTCTGCTGTAGGCTGTGCAACTAAGTTATTTAGAGATGTCTGCATTTTTTTATAAAAAGATGCTATACAAACAAAAGCCCATATTCTCAAAGAAAAAACAAAAAGAAAAAAATCATTTTTCCCTACCCTTGGACTCTCTCTCGGGCAGTTGTTTTCAGCGTGGGAAGGACACACTGTCCTTTTAGTTATCAGGCTCCAAAACATGAACAGCACGTGCATACTTTTGCTGTGCATCAGGCTCGGCTCTAAGCACTTCAAAGATGCTATCACACTTGATTCTCAACAACCACCTTTTGAGAGAGGTTACTATTACTTCCCTCATTTTACCCTTGAGGAAACAGACACACAGAAGTTAAGTGACTTGCAGAGGTCCGGGAGCCAGCGAATGGTGGAGACTCGGACCCCAGCAGCTCGTCTCCAGGGCTCCTAATACTCTGCGATGCTTCCAAAACCCCGCGGTGAGCCTTGCTTCCTCCGGTTCCTACCCAAAGCATCCCAACTTTCTCAAGACAAAACGCGTAGTGAGGCGAGAGCGCGGGAGGGAGGCGGGAAAAGGGTGTCGGGCCGAGCCTCGGTCGCGATCCCGCGGAGACGCGGGCCCCTCCCCGCGGCCCCCCTCCCGCCCAAACAACCCCGGCTCCTCCAGCCGCCGCCCAGCCGGGCCGCACTCACGCGGCCCTCGGCGACCGCCTGGAACCACCCCCCCCCGCCCCGGGATCGCGAAGTGGGGAGGGGTGGAGGCGCAGGATGCCTCTCTCCCGGGCCCGTCCTGCCACAAGAGGCTGGAGGCGAGGAAGCGACGACCGAGATACTGCGGCAACCCCAGCGCCGCAGTCCGGACTCACCACGCCGGGCCGAGACGCCGCGTCTACAACCTCAAGAGACTGCGCCTGCGCAGCCGACCTCCCCGCCGGCAGGGGCGTGGCCTCGTGCGTCCGCCCCACAGCCGGGCGGGTTCCAGGCCGCGCTTCTGGCGGTCGGGCATCGGGAGTGGGGCGTGGACAGGGCGGGGTCGGCTCGCGTCGCGCCTGCGTTCTCTAAGTCTGCAGAGTGCTACAGGCCAGGCTAATCTTAGACTAATAGCAACTGGCTCCTTGCTGCGTCCCGAGTGTCCGGGAGTGCGCCCCTCAGGCCTTCCCCGAGTCGGGGACTTAGGTCCCACTTGTTGCTGAGGGCCTAACGGGATAACCTCCGACTTCCCTCCATCACCCTCTTCTGTACGATAAAGTCACATCTAACATTTGTCATATGTTACCTTGCATTTTTTCATTATTTTTGGCTTACCTGTCGTTACTTACTACACAGAAATTTTCTTGACCTACACCTATACTTCTTCGAAGCTCGATTATCCGTTAAAGTGGTCTGGACGTTGCATCTGTTTAGTTAAAAGTAGTTGGTTTGAAAATATTTTGTCCGAATGATAATGCAAACATCAACACTAGTTATGGGTAAGCTCTACAAGCTTTGTAATCTCCCACAACTCTTCAGCCAGGAGACAGGTGTGGCCTTAGGGATAGAACCTTGGATTAAGTGTCAAAAGATACCAGAGATAAGCCGAAAAATTTTTGATTTTCCCTTAAAAACTCTCATTCATTTCTTACGAAATAGCATTATTTCTATGTAAAGAACTTGGCAAGGAAAGTTACTAGATGTTTTACATTGTATGTATGGAAACCTCTCATTCAACAAATATAACTATAAATCTGCCGGTTACTGTGCTAGGTATAGGTATACGTAATCATGTTTTGGAATAGGGGAAAAAATATTCTTTAGGGAATATTTGCTTTAGAGAAAAAAAATATTCCTCAAGTAAGAATAGGTCATATTGTTGTGTAATTGTGAAGTCAAAATTGTCTACACTCAAACATTTTTATTTATTTTAACTTCATATTTAAAACAGAACATGGAGAGGGGCGCCTGGGTGGCTCAGTCGGTTAAGCCTTCCGACTTCGGCTCAGGTCACGATCTCACGGTCCGCGAGTTCGAGCCCCGCGTCGGGCTCTGGGCTGATAGCTCAGAGCCTGGAGCCTGCTTCCGATCCTATGTTTCCCTCTCTCTCTGCCCCTCCCCCGTTCATGCTGTGTCTCTCTCTGTCTCAAAAATAAATAAACGTTAAAAAAATTTAAAAAAAAAATACAACATGGAGGAAAAAAAGATATGCAAACTTGAGCAAATCTAATTTCCATATCACACTGCAGTAAATGGGATTTTTAAAAATGTATCATATACTGGAATCCAATTTACAGTTTAAAAGGGGGGGGACTGAATTAGAACAAGAAATTTAGGAATTATGCAAACACTACGTAATTTTTCTCGGAAATGACAAAATTCCAAAGCTATCTTGATTTCTAACAGTCTATGTTCTATTTTACAACTTGATTTTTTTCACTTGACAGTATGTCTTGGGCATAACCCCACATTAGCCTCATTCTTTTGACTACTTGCTAACAACTCCCGTGAATGGATGTGTCATTTTATCCCCAGATTCCTGTTAAGGTACCTTTATCTTTGCCTACTTGTGCAAATATCTTCAGTAAACTGTTAGCAGTGGAAATGCTGAGTCAACAGATACTCATTTTAAGTTTTGATAGAAACTCTTTCCAAAAAAAGTTGCATGAAAAACAATACATTTCCTAATTCTTCATTTGATTTGTCAAATATGTGGACGCTTGATGTGGACTTAGAAAGAAATGGGGGAAATCCCCTCCTTTCCAAATGCCTTTCACTTGCATTATGCCAAGAAATAAAATGAGTTGAGAATTAATGATTCATATCAACTCAGCAGAACCAACTATTTTTTTCTCCCTTTCATCCCACTTTAAGCCTTCCTAACTCTGAAAGAAGAGCTTGGACACTTGTCCAAGGAATAATGATCAAGACTCTTTTGACAAGACTTTTTGCTATAAGAACTCTTAAATAAACTAAATTTGGCACTGTGCTGGTATTGGAGGAGCTATTCATCTTTTCAGAAAAAAAAAATCCTGCAGAAAAATATTTCTCAAATAATTAGTCATAAACATTGGAAAAAGAATTGTTTAGTAATATGTGCTCTTGCAAAAGCATAAATCAAATTAGATGTGATTTATTGAAACCAAGTACATTGTTTCATTGTTTCCATACCTGTGTTCACACTACCTTTGGTTTATGAAGTATTCAGGACAGCTTAGGAATGTCATGGGGAGTGGGTGAATCTATGATATATAATGACATCTTAGTTCAAAGTTAATCCACAATATAGATTATATAGAAACTATGTCTAAACTCCAAATGATTTGGAAAAACATAATTGTATGTGATGGCACTGGTGTAGAAATTTGAAGTGCTTTTATTAATTATTAAATTATTGAAACTGAATAATTTTAAAGTGCTTAATGAAATTATTCTTAGATACTTTAGTAATACTATTTAGAAATTAATTTTTTAATTTTCCATTGTAAATTAATTTGCAGTTAAGTATAGCTTTCATTATGTTTGGGAACCAAATTGAGAATAATTTAAAAATGAGGTAATGAACCAAGTTGACAATAAATTTAAAAACACGGTCATAATAGGGGCCCCTGGGTGGCTCAGTAGGTTAAGCGTCTGACTTTGGCTCCGATCATCATCTCACAGTTCATGAGTTTGAGCCCCACATCCAGCTCTGTGCTGACAGCTCGGAGCCTGGAACCTGCTTCAGATTCTATGTCTCCCTCTCTCTCTGCCCCTCCCCTGCTCACCCTCTCTCTCTCAAAAATGAATAAATGTTAAAAAAAATTTTTTAAACACAGTGATGATAAATTCTATGTGGGAAGATGCATAACACCCCCTGCCCCCAAAGATGTTCTAGTTCCTAGAACCTGTGTTCATGTTACCTCACAAGGCAAGAGGACTTTGCAAATGTGATTAAATTGAGGATCTTGAGATAGGGAAATTATCCTGGATCATCTGAGTAGCCCCAAAATCATCACAAACGTCTCTTAAAAAAGAGTAAGAGGAAGAGTAGTGGATGTGACAACACAAGCAGAGTCAGAGTTAGAGATTTGAAGATGCTAGCCAGCTGGCTTTGAAGACGGGGAAGGGGACCACTAGCCCAGGAATGCATGCAGCTTCTAGTGGATGAAAAAGGCAAGAAAAGAAATTCTCCCCAAGAGCCTTTGGAAGCAACACAGGTTTGTGGACACCTCAGTTTTAGCCAAGTAAGAGTACTGACATAAAGAACTGTACACAAATTTATATTGTTTGAAGCTGGTAAATTTGTGGTAATTCGTTACAGTGGCAACTGAAAACACATATTACATATTAGTTGGACCTACCTCTGGCAAACTATCGTCAAATACAAATATCAAAGTTGTAGAGGAAAGATGACAGCATGCGATTATCTTAATATTGACATCAGTTGAACCGGCTATTGGATTTAAGAGCAATTCCTAGGAAGGCATCCATGTAGTTTACTTTAAATTAATCTGCAAGAATCCGGATATAAAGTAAGTTGGAAATTTTTACTTTAAATCTTTAAATTTTATCTTTGGTGTATTTTCTACTTTCCACTTTTAAACGTTGTCTCTCCTTTAAAAAAATAATAATCAAGAGACGCCTGGGTGGCTCAGTCGGTTAAACCTCCGACTTGGGCTCAGGTCATGATCTCACGGCTTGGGTGAGCTCTGTGCTGACAGCTCAGAGCCTGGAACCTGCTTGGGATTCTGTGTCTCCCTGTCTCTCTCTCTCTGCCCCTCCTCTGTTCACAGTTGCTCTCTCTCTCTCTCTCAAAAATAAATAAACATTTTAAAAAGGTTTAAAAAATAAAAAAGTAGAAAATAATCATCAAAACAAACAAACAAACAAAAGTCCAGCTCTCAGTTTCTTGAGTTAGGGCCCGGTTCCCTCAGCGATCACTTCCCGTGGCTCTCCTCGGCTCGGCCAGCGCCTGGCGGAGGGGGGCGCTCAAGAGCCCGGCGCGGCCGCCGGGAGGACCAGTGGGGGAGAAGCCGGAGGAGGAAGTGATCAGGAGCCCGGTGGGCGCGAGCGGGAGATGGTGCTGCCGGGGCCGCTGCTCGGGAGTGCACGCCGTGCGATCCTCGGGTCGGCGCAGTCTGTGCTCTGGGGTGAGCTCTGTGGTCCATGGGGAAAGGGACAGCGCCTAACCTCGGGCCCCGGGGGAGGAATGGCATTGGTGGGGGTGCTCGCTTCTTGAAGGAAGCACCCCCTGCTAGTTCTCGTTCCTTCAGATTCCGGGCTACTTGGGTCTGGGGCTGCTCTTGGGGGACGCAGGGAGGGAGGTCAGCGTTACTCCAGGAAGCTTGCGTGGGGAGGCATTTTGGAAGATACTGGTGTTTGAGCAATGAAGGTCAGTGCGCGGCTCAGAGGAGCGAGCGAGGCCTGCTTCTGCCCCAGACAAACTAACCACGAGCCCAGCTTTGCGAGTTACACTTGTTACCCACTAGAAGCCGCGCCCATTGCTTGAATTAGAACGCGTTAGAGCCATTAAGGTACCACCAGGACAGAACAAGCCGGAGAAACGAAGGTGGTTATGGAGGTGTTGGGTGTACTCCTCAAAGCCGACTTCCTGTCCTTAAGCACAAACTTTTATTTGTGGACACAGCTACGGAGACTGTGGCATAACCCTGTGTCCCCAGTTCTCCCTCCCAGTTATTCCACTTTAACTGTTGGTATGTCCTCAGTAGCTTAAAATGTGCTTTTCTATGCAAATGTTTTATTTATTGAGCACCTACTAAGGCAGGCCTCCTGCGGGGGATATCGCCTCTTCAGTTCACTTCATTTTGTGGAGAGACAGACACAAGTAAACACCATATACAACCCGGTGAGACTGCAACGGCAAAAGCAATGATTCTACCCGAGTTGGAGAAGGTGTTACAGAAAAGGTGCCTTTTCGTCTAAAATTGTAGTAATACATAATTATATTCTCATTGTTTTCAAACAGACACAGCACCATGTAAGTTCTTCTTTGTGCACCCTCCCATATTCCATTCTCCTCTACAAGTGAGGCTAGGTACACATCCTTCTAAACACTTTCCTGTAAGCCTACATAAATGTACACCTAAAAATACGACATATGTAATACACAGGTGTTGCTCTTTTTTAATTTATGTCCCAGAACTCCTCTTCCTGCAATCTCACTCCCCAGGAATAGTTTAGTATTTTCTTCCAGATGCTTTTCTGGACATTTATAAAACACAAGTATGTTATATGTATACAGATGTCAAAGGGGGAAGCTTTTTCATTTAACAGTATGGACATCTAAGTCACCGTTTCCTTGTAAGTGCTGCATGATAGGCTTCATAATTTAACCATTTCCTGAATGAACATTTAGGTTTCTTCCGATTTCAGGATGTGTTTCTAATCTTCCTTCCTTTTTTTTTTTTTTTTTTTTGTTGTTGTTGTTTAATGTTTATTTATTTTGAGAGAGAGGAAGAGAGAGGCTCTGCACTGACGGGGCTCTGTCCCACGAATTCTGAGATCATGACCTGAGCCAAAATCAAAAGTGGGATGCTTAACCAACTGAGCCACCCAGGTGTCCCGTGTTTCTAATCTTTCAACCAAGACTTTCCCAAGAGAATGCTGTCAATCCTTGTCTTCTTAATGATTTGAGGCTGCTAATATGAGTGCTTGTCACTTAATCAGTGACCCCCATTACACTGAAAATGACTTTTGTCTCCTACGTTTCCATGAGATCAAAAACTTGCTGGCTACCTTTATTCTCTGAAGCCATCCCCTCCAGTATTATTCTGCTGGTTTTATTGTTCTTTTCTTCCTTTTTGCTTCTGTTTAGACTCAGGTTTGAAGCAGGATCCCAAATGGGACCTACTAAGTCATGTGTACTGCCACTGAGTACTGGGCTAACACACCTTTGTGGTGGCACAAAGTGAGTGAACTTTCACCTACGCAGTCTTGCCCTATCTATTCCCAGGGTGCTGACCTCTGGAAGATTCTAAGTAGCTTTCCTGGTAATAGCCAGGTTGCATAAACGCCTTTACTTGGTATCCTAGTCCTTGGGCTACAAAGAACAACAGAAAACACGGAGATGCCCTAGTTAATACGAATCAGCTGCCAGCAGCAGATGTCTTAAATAAGGAGGGAGTTTGAGGAAGGTGACAGCTGAGAGGACTTGGCTCGCTGGCCTATTTAAGGGGGAAGTACTGTGATAGAGGAGTAAAAGGTTGAAAAGACAAGTACTTTAAGAAGCTGAAAGTCAGTACCTAGGGTGTTCCCTTTTCCTGTTAAAATCACTTCATGAAATAAAATGCATTGCCTTACCAGAAATTTCCATTGTACCATTTTACTCACTAGGATGGTTGTTCACTTGCTTTCAGCATTTTGCTGTGAGTGGTTCAAAAAACTGAAAATATTTATTAAAGTGATTACATTAGAAGTTATAAAATGTTCACACTAAATCCAAATACCTATTTGAAAAGGAAGCACACCAGATGTTCTTCCTAATGTTTTCTCTCTGAAGTAACAATCATTTCTTTCTTGGTTGCATGTTGTCTGTATTGTCCATTGCACAGTCCCTAGAAAAAATTGTCAATATTCAACAGATATTGACATTGGTTTTCTAAGGTGTCAAGATCCAGAAGAATATAGGTGAACTAGGGAATTTATTTTATGGCTGTGGCAAGAATGAATTGCTATTATTATGATTGTTATCATTATTAAGCAAAAGCTTATGTTTCCTTCTTTTTTTAAAGTTTATTTATTTATTAGAGAGAACAAATGGGGGAGGGGCAGAGAGAGGGAGAGACAGAGTCCCAAGCAGGCTCTTTGCTTGAACCCATGAACCATGATGAGAGATCATGGCCTGAGCCAAGACTGAGTCAGATGCTTAACCAACTGAGCCACCTAGGTTCCCCTTTTATGTTTCAAATAGTTATATTTTTCACATCAAAACTTTATTTGGAATTATAAAAAGACTGCCAAACTTAATTAGAAAGTAAGGGGTAATCATAGACTTTTTTTTTTTTTGGCAGGGGTGGGGGATACAGAGAAAGAGAGAGAGAGAAGTAGGGAGAGAATCCCAAGTACTGTCCACACAGAGCCTGATTTAGGGCTCAATCCCACAAACTATGAGATCATGACCTGAGCTGAAATGAAGAGCCAGACACTTAACTGACTAAGCAGCCAGGCGCCCCAGTGGTAGACTGTTTCTTTTCTTTCTTTGTTTTTGTTTTTTTAAATGTTTGTTTAGTTTTAAGAGAGAGACAGAGCACAAGCAGGGAAGAGGCAGAGAGAGAGGGAGACACAGAATCCAAAGCAGACTCCAGGCTCTGAGCTGTCAGCACAGAGCCCGATGCAGGGCTCAAACCCACATACTGAAAGATCACGATCTGAGCCAAAGTCAGATACTTAACCAACTGAGCCACCTAGGTGCCCCAGTGGTAGACTCTTTCTAAGTGAAATTTATTATTTTAAAGTATAACATATAGTACACAACCATGCTACACTATAACATAGAAAAGAAGGTAAATTTATGAAAAAAAATTATGAATTTATAAATTTAGAACCCAAATCATGGATATGATTTCTTTTTTTTAAATGTTTATTAAAGTTTATTTATTTTGAGAGAGACAGCAGAGCGGGGGTGGGGGGGCAGAGAAAGAGGTAGAGAGAAGAGAGAGTCCCCAAGTGGGCTCCACTCTGTTAGTGCAGAGCCCGATGTGGGGCTGAACTCATGAAACTGTGAGATCATGACCTGAGCTGACCACTTAACCGAATGAGCCACCCAGATGCCCCTATGTATATTTTTTCTATGTATAATTTCTTTATTTTATTAAAAAAATTTTTTTTAATGTTTATTTTTGAGAGACAGAGTGTGAGTGGGAGAGAGGCAGAGAGAGAGGGAGACACAGAATCTGAAGCAGGCTCCAGGCTCTGAGCTGTCAGCACAGACAGCCCGACACGGGGCTCAAACTCGCAAACTGAGAGATCATGACCTGAGCCGAAGTCGGACACTTAACCAGTTGAGCCACCCAGGCACTCCTATATATAATTTCTTTAACCATATAATTAAATCACATTAAGCTAATTGAAATTAAATAATTTAATGAATAATTCTAGAATTTAGAGATGTAAAGAAATAACTAAATTTCTTAAGCTTTTTATTTGGAAAAAAAAAAAAAAGCTCATTCCTATAGGTTTCTCCTTACTAAAAAGACCTGACAATTGTATTATAAAAACTAACTTCTAAACATGTATACAGTATGAATTAGACCATTCTGAATGTTACTAGATCCTCAATTGGTATAGTGTAATATGATGTGATTTT